ATACCACCAAATTTTTTTCCTCTATTTTTTCACATACTAAGGTAATCGCCACCGAGATTGACATTTAGCCATTTATACACAAATCCTTTCCCTCTTACCCGCATGTCATATTTTTCGTTAGTATTGAACCGACACAGTCGTTTGTAGCTTTATTTAAACGAACGTGCAGTTATGTGTCTTTCCACTCACTTCTGTTAATAATTAATTTCCGTTTGAACCCTTTCATGGTGACACATGGTCAAAATCATGAAAAGCTATTTAACAAACGGTCGGGTCAATTACGTACCAAAATTCTGATTATATATTACGGGTATATCATGAGTAATCATATAATTCCATAAGTCAAGAATCAAGACTGGCGGTTGTCAAGATAAAAATTGGTGTGATTGGTTTWCCCATGCAATAATATCGAATTTCCAGATATTGTGTTTCGAATTTACGGTTATTATATCAGTATGCTATATTAATACGATTTAATATGGTTTTTATAGAATTGTCAATAGTTTCAATAATATAACCAATAATGTCGAGCGCGTGTCATTTTGTAGATTGCTTCGTATGTGCTCCATGACCTACATATTTTATTGAGTGTGAATATTGTTTGAATATCAATCACTAATACAAATACTTCAGAGGCATTTGTGAATGCGATTTTTAAAATCAAGAATTCGAAAAATAAGAAAAAATTTGAATAATTATTGAATACATATTAAGACTTATTAAATACATTAATTAATAATTAAAAAAAAAAAAAATGGAAATTATTTAAATAATAGCCTTAAACTAATTTATTATAGGTATATATGTATAGAATATATATATACTGTCTTGACACATGTATTGTAACAGAAAACAGTAGTATAATGTGTTTCAAATGGATTATMATTTCTGGAGGTGTAGAATATAATATTATATTGCGTTTCTTATCATTTACGATTCGGATATTTCGAGTTCACGTTTTATTCAAATAGTTATAGGTAGATTTTAAAAATTTTCTGTYTGGACTTCAGTTGGTTGGGTTTACGTATAAGGCATGTGTGCGCGTTATTTATATATGTACATATATTTATGTTTTATGTACTTTTGGCGTATTTTTTGTGTTGAAAAAATCCCTATAATATGTAGGATAAGGGAATATGTTCGAGTATATATAATATACATATATTTATACTTTTTAGGTTGCGTAAGCAATCGATCAGAAATAATGTCACGCGTAGATTGCACTGTCGAGTTCCGGTTTTAATTTTCCGTAAGAAAAACCATATTTTACCTATATTCTATAAATTATTTATATATCAACCTATTGGCAGCACGTCATAATATTATTTTATGTATCGTCTGAATGTAATACGCGTTCGATACCGAATTTCAATATTATGACATAAAGATTTATTATTGTTTCAYTGCTGTTAAATAGTTCAGAATTATATTTATTATAATATATACACATTAAACATTCTATATTAAACATGTCATATGGATTCATCTTAATATATGCTTTGCAGTATTAAATTTGTACATATCCCATGTTCGTGGCTGTCCGTTGGCGGGCGCGTTGTATTAGTTATTTTGATAAATTACTTAGGTCAATATCCGAAACAGTGACAAACCCGTRGATTAAAAATTATACGACCACGTAGGCAAATGACCATTTTGTTTATATCACAATATTAATATACAGGTGTAAAAGAAAGACCTGATAAAAAAAAAAAAAATCTATGCTAATTGAATTTACGGCAAAAATTGTTAATATTATATGATAAGTAAATAATTTAAAAATATATTCATGTCAGAAATCATATTTTTTTTAAAGTTATTACGTTCCAAATTAATTTAACCAAAAGAATATTGAATTTCAAAAAAATACTAAAAAATAAACTACTCGACTTGGTTAGATAAATCTTTTTACCATCAAAATTGTTCTTATAATCTGATTCACAAATAGGCTATTTTGAATTTATCCAAAATTTTTTTTACTAACTTTTAATTTTTTAATTCTCAGTACTAAAAAATAAATATAAAAAAGGTATTGTTTATGTAGCGCCAGGGTCACTTATTAAAAAAAAAAAATACTAATTTGAACAAAAGTTATTCCAAAAGTCAGTTCTATCTGTCACACTTTATGTAGTATCTTGTGTATTATATTCGTTTGTTTTTAAGGTGTTTGACGCTCAGCTTTATTTTTTTTTATCTTTCACACATCCTTATGCAAATAGATACCTTGATGTGGGGACCTTCAGAAGTCTAAGAAAAAAAATTCAACGTGATATCTTATTGTTTTCTTAGCCCATTTTCAGTTGTGCACAAAGCTCCTACTATGTATAAATAATATATAAAATTCTGAAACAATGTGTTGGCTTTTCAGTCCAYATATATATATATATACCAACACATATAATATATATTATATTGATTATGTTAATGTGTGTGGGGGAGGGGAGGAGGTAGGTTGGTAGGTATAAAACTGGATAGATTTTCATCGATTGCCGAAAATATAATATAATAATATATTGAATTCGATTTGTGAAGTTGACAATATATGTGTCCGATTTTCTAGCATATACGCACACGCGTTCTCTTAATCCCACCCCTTTCTTCAGTCCTTCTCCGTCACATTGTCTGTTAACCCACGCGTCCGTGTGTTAGTTTTTTACTCAAGCAAACGCGCTAACAAGTTAACGGAATATGTCAGGTCAGGCGTTTTAATAATTGTGTTATGTCTGCTAGAGGCGCCATCCGTGGTGTGTGTGCAATTCGGGGAATGGGTGACCTTTTAAAACTGCACTTCGTCAACGATGCATGATGTATATTTATTGCTTTTATTATTATTATTATTATTGTTGTTGTTGTTGTTGTTGTTGTTGTTATTTTTACGATACTAAGGCTGTTTCTCGTAAACCGTGTGTTCAAGTAATTACTGTTATAACTTAGATACAGGTATCTGTTATGTTATATGATAAAACGCGAAACACGTTGCTGATATAATTTTTTATTTGACATGAAGAGGATTAACTTACAAATCTCTTGAACTAGACGGCTCTTGGTCTTCGTGTTCTTCCGACGACATGGCGATCGTTGTGTCCAGGCTTTGTTGTTGGGCAGCTGTCATYACCTGGAATCATGTACCATGCATTGTTTTAATTCTTAGCAGACACATACGCAGTTGAAATTTCGAAACACAATATTGTTAATTATATTATAAGTTATTAATTCGTATTTCATTGATGGATGTTTACAGTACTCATTTGTGTATTACAACAGTTCTATTATTTCATTCCATCTCGGTAAATTGCATTCATATACTAAAGCATGGTAGTTTAAAATTACCGCTTCGTTTCTACTACCATACAAGAGTATAATACATAATAATATACTTCGATTTTTTCGTTTGTTAAGGAGTTTAGTTTTTTTTTTGGTTAATCATTAAATTTTTGTGTAGTACTCTTGCGGGCATAAAAATTAAAAATTATTTATTTTTATTCGTTTTATCAAGGTATCTGACCCAGGAATCAT